TGGCTCTCACCTTTCCCCACACTTCTCTTCCATTAAGACCATCAGGAACGGACCCCATTCACCTTCACCTTATCCTCTGATGAGTCCTATAATGCTCCTTTTGTTTCCTCTGAACTCAGTGCTGCTTTACAGTCATTGCGCAACACCCAATACTATCGTATGCGCCGACACCTCCCATCTTCCTCTCTATCATTCCTTTTAACTATTTTCAACCACATATGGACGTCAGGCAATTTTCCTTATAGACGAGAAGCTCTTAGCCTCCCCTTCTTGAAACCCAATAAAATGGGTGCCCTCCCTCAAGATTACTGCCCCATTGCTCTAACAAGCTGTATGTGCAAACTACTAGAACGAATGGGTAACTTCCGCTTCACATGGTATCTTGAATCTCACAATCTCACTCCCCAGTTTGGTTTCCGCCATGCCCGAAGTACAGCAGACCCCCTTGCCCACTTCGAGACATATATTACATCTGCATTTGCACGCCATGAATCCGTATTAGCCATATTCCTTAACTTAGAAAAAGCATATGATACCACATGGCGGTACCATATTCTCTAACAATTGTCCTCCCTAGGCATACACAGAAAAACGTTTTTATAGTCTTTCTTCTCCAAACGTACTTTCCAGGTCAAAATTGCCCCTTTGACGTCATCCTTTCTTCAGTTCGAAGGCGTCCCACAAGGCAATGTGCTCAGCATTCCTTGTTGCTGCAAATGACAGTCTCAGATTTACCACCAGGAGCCTGGGCATCACCATATATTAATTTAACCATCTACACCTCTGGTACATTCCAAATCTCCGCCAGTTCTTTCAGTCTGCAATACCATCAGTATCTTCCTGGGCCACTAACCATGACTTTCGCTTTTCTACCTCCAAAGCTTTCTCCATCCTTTTCTCTTGCGCATATGTAGTTCCCCAACCTCCACTCTTCTTATATGGTGCTCCACTCCAATACCGTTCCTCTAGCAAATTCCTTGGCGTTATTTTTGACTCCAAGTTGTCCAGGCGAGACCATATCTTTTACATCAAAGAAAAAGCTTATCGCCGCCTCCGAATCTTACAAACTCTTTCCCACATATCCTGGGGCTCAGATCGCAAAACTCATCCATCTTCATGTTTCCTTAATCCTCTCCACGCTAGATTATGAATCCCAAATCTACTCTACCTCAGCCTCCCTTCTTGTTCACCTTGAAACAATCCACCACTGCAGTGACGTCCTAGGCTCCTTCCGCTCCTCTCTAGTTAAGTGCCTGTACATTATTAAGTCGACGTCATACCCTCCTCTCCGATGCAATGCTCGATTCCACCAACTTTCCCTCACCAAACTATCCCAATGTCCCTGCTTCCTACCTTTGCTTCTCCGCGTTAACCTACTCCTTTCTCCGTATGCAAGTATACCCTCCTCTCCCATTCCCCCTTTCCCCACCGACCTCTACCGTTTTCTGCCCATTCCTTTTCTCCATGGCTTATACCTAACCCCCATATTTGCTCATCTTTTCCCTGACTTACCAAAATCAGATATCCTCCCCTCTTGTCTTTCTCACCCATTTCCTTGACCATGTCTCCATTCATTCCTCCAGCATTCATGTTTACTGATGGCTCCAAATCCACCTCCGGAGCTGGTTTCGCAGTAACATTCCCAACTCGCACTTTCAAATACACCATCCCTCCTGAATCATTTTTGCCTTAAAACACACTCACTCCCTTCGTCCTCTTTCACTATTTTTACTGACTCTTGTAACTCATAAACTCTCATAAATATGCACTCGACCAATCCCCTTGTCTGTAAGATGCCATGAATCTATCAGATTTTGCTGGGTCCAGCCATGTTGGAATCCCCGGCAATGAACACGCTTCTCATGTATTCCAGCCACGGATTATTATCCCTACTTTAAGACCTTCCTGTATACCCAATGGCAATCTCTCTGGTCATATATCCGCTCTAATGAATTATATACTGAAAAACTATCAATCTCCTCTTCGTACGCTCCATTTCATCGGAACAGACGTTGGGAGACGGTTCTTGTACACTTATTTATTGGCCACACCCGTCTAACACACTCCTATCTGATGATTGAACTATGGGAGGTGAGTCAAAGAATTTACTCGCGACTTCATTAAGTTACTAAATTGCTCACACACTCACCCACCATGCGCATAGTATATCAAATGACATTATTTTTGTGATTTTATGATTCCTTTAAATATTGGGTCAACAGCCATAGTACTCCCAAAACCCTGTTGGAGCCTTATCATATATAAAAAAAGATGTTCTCCATCAGAGAACATTTAAAAATCGTCCTGTACTTGGTTAATGGTCAGTGTGTATAACATCTAGTTATTTTCATTTGATTTACTGCTTATACATTATAGAGATATTGGTTTTACTATTATGGAAAATAATCGTCATTGTAATAACAGTCAGTGAGAATGATAATGTTGATCATCAGTGATTAGGATAAGGATAATGGAGATTAAAGATTGAGCTTGCTCTATAGAAGTCTCAGAACAAAACATTAAATAACCCCCCCAAAAAAGCACACACACACACACACACACACACAGCGCATTTGACAAGTATCACACAGTAGACTGCTATGGAACCAAGTACACCTAGGTAGAGTGGAAAGAAAACTATTTGAATGGATGAAAGTCTTCCTACATGAAAGACAGATCAGCACGGAAATTAGGTTAAAAATGTATGGATATGAAGTAACTAGCGGAGTACTTCAAGGGATGGTCTTGACGTCGATTGCACTATTATTTTCGTGGATTTAGGGTTAAACACAAGCCGAGGTAGCTATCTGAACGCGAAAATACAGAGAATGCCTCCAGAGGGACATCGAGAACTTATTTAGGCGAGTTGTACTTATAAAATGGAATTCAACACCAAGTAATGTTGTTCAATCAGGTTCACGAACAATAAAAATCAACCCCAGCAGATAGGGAAAGGACCTTGGAATAATCTTAACCAGAAACTTGATCCCAGATGACCATATAGATGAAAAAGTCTATAAAATGCTAGGATTGATTGCAAACATGGGGGGGACATTTTATATGAGGCGTTGAGAGTGGGAGGAGCGAACCTAAACAAAAATGCGATTCTTTGCACCACCATTCCCTATGAGATCTGCTTTATCTTATGGCAAGAAATGGTGTAGTGAATGCCTACACTGTAGCAGAAAACTAATGTTATAAATATAGTGCAAAGTTCGTGGTCAGGGCGAAACAAACTTTAAACCTATTTTTGACTATTAGAATCAAAGTTCCTGCTTTGTGTGCACCGCCCGCAGGTTCCGACAACGTCCGCAAAGAAAAGAAAAAAAACCACTGAATTTCATTATTCCCCCAAAAATTTGATGACTTCGAAAAACTGTTCATTTGTCATGCCTTTTAGAGAGAGTACTCTTACTAGTTAATATGAATGAAAAGTGACATGATTATCCACAAGAACTAAGATGATTTAATGACTGAAAGACTGTTATTCTCTCCTTTAAATGCTTGTAGAAATAAATAATGAATAACGAAAAATAGCCTCATCAGTTTAAATTTTACCCAGGCGCAAAGAGGAACTTTCATATTTGTGACGAGAAAGTGATCATTACAACTATCATAAGACCTGCTTGCTACATTTCCCTATTCTTCTCTAAATAGTTCGTTTTTTTTATATTTGGATCACTGGGAAGTTGTTATTTATTAGAGGGTAGTTGTTATTTTACCTGTTTTTTTATGAAATCCCTTTTTTAGGGAGTTTTAATATCTATGGAAGTACAATTTGTTTTTCCCACGATTCTCTTTTTTTCTTTCGATGATATGTTTAGCATCTGCTAATAGTTTCTTGTAATTTAGTGTATTCTCTGGACTAGGTCTTTTCCTCCATTTGTTGTAAGCTTTTTTTTTTCTTTTCTTTATCACTTCATTTCATCTCTCATTCCACCAAGGTTTGTTACGCTTATTTTATAATTTTTATGATCAAAGTTGAAATGTTTTTCTCCAGTATTGTTTATTAATTCTATAAGTATTGTCAACGGTTCTATATCTATATTTATTTAACTTAGCTCCGATATTCTATTTCAAGTCAAATGGTTTCCAGTCCTAGAACTCTTAAGTGTGTCTTCTATTATATATTTATGAAATTCAGATTTACTTACAGCGTTGGTTAGTTTTTATGGATTGTGGAAGTTTGAAGTTGATAATTTCCCTGACACCTTAACTAGTATTACATTTTTGTTTAAGCTTACTTGAATATTGGTATTCAAGTATTGTTGTTCCTTACGGGTTGAAACTGCACGGTTCTTTATTCTTTGTTCCAGTGTTGCTTGGAAGGTGGGTTTGTTTCGTTATCAGTGTTCATAGTCCATTTGTTAGGCTATTCCAGGACTCTCTCTTGGGCCCGGAATGAATTTAGCGTCCATCTGTTCAATAAATATTTCTTTAGTTGATGTTTTTTTTCCGGGATAGATGTTTCCTCAATGGCGATTCAACGAAAGTTGACCTTGGCTGTTCTCCTGTATTGAAATAACTGGATGAGAACTTAAACACGCACACATGCATCCCCCCAACACACACACACACACACACACACACACACACACACACACACACACACACACACACACACACACACACACACACACACACACACACACACACACACAACACACACACACACACACACACACACACACACACACACACACACACACACACACACACACACACACACACACACACATACATTTAGTCGGTTTGTTAAAACTGTGCCAGGCCCGACCCAATGAATTTTCATGAGAACAGATGCAGCAGAAATAAAGGCATATCTGTCTATATATCTGATAGATATACATTTAACCATCTATTATCTGTCTTGGGGACGTTCTCTGGTACGTATAAATACATACATACATACATATATACATACCACACACACCACCTTGAAAAATAGATTAGTCCCTCGTGAAATGAATCCACTTTCTGTCTTTGAATCAGGAAAGAAAACGGTCTAGCCGGGAAAGCAAAACAAAGTGGTGCGGACAAGGCCTTGTGAACAGATACTAACCCATCTACAAAAGCCAAACAGACAACATTAGTCATTTCTTTTATGTCAGTGTACATCATAGAGGCTCAGGAGTTCAAGAAAGGTCAGGGAATTGCCGTCATTTGACCTGCTTGAACATGACGTCCGAGGACCCATATTACAACAGGCGCGTGAAAGGCACTGTGTTGCACCGGTACAGGAATTCTGTAACTTCGGGATCCTCGCCGTGTCTGGCTCATTGGACTCGCATTTCAGTAAGTTGGAGGCTTCCGGATTTATTTGGGTAATTTTTCGGAATGCCTTTGCTTAACCGAACATGGCGATTTTGGTATAGATGGGTTCCTCTCACTTTATGCAGTCCAAATATTTGGAAATTATGCCGCGGAAACACCTCCACCACCCACAATCTTGGTTCTGATAGAGGGGAGGGGATGAAATGAAATTGGGGAGTAAAATATGAATCAAATACACAGAAACAGTCATTAGGTTTTAATTCTTGGGGCTGTGCCCCCAGCAACCCCTGCAAAAAGTCAAAGAGATTTTGCCATAACTCCTTTACTTTTACATACTTAGCAAAAATTATTACATCACGGGATTGCCAAAGCCCACTAGATTACAGGAGATATTTTTCAAAATATTGAGTTTTTTTTAATTTTCGTCGCGACAGCCCCTGTAGGTATCACCATGGCTCCTGAACCATTTGGCACTCTGGCAAAGACCATATAGCCTACTTTCTGGCAAGATGGAGCTTTAGACTTGCCATTACAAAAAAACATTTTCATGTATATGTCCGCACTTACATGTAAAAAGAATACCAAACACTTAGAATTTAAGTGGGACATTATTTGTGAGAAAGTTAGGACTGGAGTAAATTAAACATGTCTCAATTATTTAAGAAGAGGTACCCCCCTCCCCCACACAGTTATGGAGTGGATATTCATGGACCCCTTGGGAGTTTTGTTTGTAAAATGCATAGTGCCATTGAAGTGAATAGTGACCAATATGGCATATTATCTATTTTAAAGTATTGCATTGTATCACCTATATTGTTATGATTTTGCTAAATACTAAGCAGTTTCCATGATATATAGAACGTTGATACTCTATTAGTTGCAAGCAATAATTCCTTGTCATATAACAATGAAAATCAAGAGCTAAGGCCTGTTAGAAAGATTCTGTAGTTTATGTAACATATCCAAACCTAATTTTAAGGGCTCAGCTTTGTTTTACAGAATATTCAATAGATATTTTGAGTAAATTTCCATCAGAGACATCTTTTCTGACATGAAATATTTTCTTTTCATAGCTCTTAATACCCTCCTGATTTGCAGAAATTGGGTACTAGTATTCAAGTAGCTGATTCTCAAGATTGAGAGAGCTCCATTTGTTATGATACAAAAAGATTGCTTACAGACCTTTTTGATTTTTATTGATGTAGGGTAATTTTTTTTTCTTCATCTTCTTATTTTTGTTATTACTGAGTATTTTAATCCTACTAGATTGTGAAAATGGTTATTTTTAGATATTATTACATTGTAATTAAGATACCAGTAGTTGTGTTTTCAAAGAAAAGCAACTTTAGAAGAATAACTTTGATATTATAATGGTGTATTGTAATGCCTAGATTTATACTATTGAAAAATAAAGTTTAGTATGAGGTGGAATAATGTAGAATAATCGATTGATAATTTCTTTTATTCTCTACATTGCGTATGCCTTGCTTTTTCTGTTACACAGAATTGCAAATATACTTAATTGAAAGTGTATTTGTTTGAGCAATTGTGTATGAAACTGATAATGGAGATGCTGTCAAGTGTAGTATCTGGTGTGAAAAGGGAAATCATAAATTTTTTTGATAGGTAATGGTGATAAAAAACGACTTTACTCCTTTCTTTTTTGCAGTTATCTGCCGCACTCACAGTCTCTTAATGAAAGGATCAAAGGAGGAGTCTTTTAGGAACACTGAAGAGTAGAAGCACGCCGTATGTTGATGCAAGAATCGCTGACCAGGTCCTCTCATGCCTGAGGAGCCATAAAGAGCATACGAAAGATATGTCTTGAAATGAGACGGCAACAGATGAAAGATCCAGAGTGATATTAATCCACATATGAGAGACATTGAGATAGGATTTTTCATTGTGGTATTTGTAAACCTTTGTAAGCCTTATCAACTATTGTTTTTTAATTAAAGATGGATAGTAGTAAAAAGAAATTTTCTTGAGTTAATGTATAGATAAAATGGGAGAAAGTGACAGATTTTATTTTCATGTACATAATACACATCAGAAAATGTATTATTGTTACATATTTGTACATATACATGTAATTTTATAAAATATGTTACTCAAATAAAGTGAAAAATATAATCACAAGACCAAAGATGAGTGCTAGTAGAGGAGGCCGCTTGTCTCGAAAGAGAAAAAAAAGAAGAAGATTGCCTGACATTTACCAGCATACATGATATCACTGACGACTTCCAGGAAGCAGCCACTGTGTTCATGTAAAAAATGCCTTGGAGCTCAAACTCCTATGTGATCATTCTTAAGTTGCTGTATAATGCTATGATGCGTGTGCATTGCACACATGTGCGCGTGCACACACACACACACACACACACACACACACACACACACACACACACACACACACACACACACAACACACACACACACACACACACACACACACACTCACACTCACACTCACACTCACACTCACACTCACACACACACACACACACACACACTCACACTCACACTCACACTCACACTCACACTCACACTCACACTCACACTCACACTCACACTCACACTCACACTCACACTCACACACACACTCACACACACACACACACACACACACACACACACACACACACACACACACACACACACACACACACACACACACACACACACACACACACACACATATTTGCAAACATGCCTCACTCACATAGTCACATTTTGAGACTTTCAGACATAGATTCTCTTACTTTGCTCTTGATATGATCCTTACACCTAACACATACATGCTTTAAGTCTTCTACTTTTCATGTATCATGTAATTTGCTTTGATTGCTCTATCTTGCTTTTTGGTGTAAGGCCTCTATTGGCACTCATCATCACTGGACATATTGTTTGTTTTTCCTTATATGTATTTTATAGTATAAATATCTGAAGTTTATATTGTATTGGAGAAGTAAGTATATAATAACATTTACATATGATATGGAACTTTCTGAATATTGAAGTGGATTTGCTGTTACATTAATCATTATAACATAATTATAATAGAACCCGGGAGTACATATATTATTTTTTACTCATTGTAGTCGGTATTTCAATATTGTTATGTTTATTATCAGTTTTATATCTTTCCTTTTTCTCTCTATTTTGTGTTTCAATAGAGTTCCAAAGAAAGCAAAAACAGAAAAGCCTCCACCTGCTCCAAGGCAACGAGGCCGTCCCAAGAAATCTAGCAGTGTGAGACAGAATTTGCAAACAGCCAATACGACGAGTGGAAACAGCTCCAAAATGAGGATTCAACCAAGAGATCTTGGATGAGGCTGATGAGTTTGAGGCTGAAGCGAAACCCAAAGACATAAACTTGGAAAAAGACACTGAGGCACAGCAGCTTGGAGAAGATGAGGAGTTCCTGGAATTAGAGCAGTCAGTGTGCTCTGAATCTGAAAAGCTGTGTCCATCTTGTAAACATATTGTTCCTTCTGCCCTCATAGGTGATCACATAAAAGAATGCATGCAAAAATTCAAACTAGTAAGAAGAAGGTCTGAGAGAAATTCAGCGTCTACAAAATCTAAAGCTAAAGAGGAAGATAATGAAGATGATGAAGTTCTTCCATGTCCAGGTTTTTCAAAGGTAATATGATCTGCATTTATATTTTGATGGACAGCTTGACATGGTGGTGGTCATTTCTCTCAAATTAAAGTTAGCCTTTATTATTTATAGATAAGTATATATACATACACACATCTTTTAGCATTGCCATTTGTATTGTTATAACTATGACTGAAAAATTGACAGTGGATAAGTGTAGATTGCAAAATGTTAAAAGCACAATACATCTATAGTGTGAACCCCAAGATCAGATATGTAACCATCACATTATTTAAAAATGGGTTAAGGGTGGGTAATGTGAACATGCTGTTGCCACGGTGCCACAAAGCTCTTGGGCATTTAGGAAGGGCTTATTATTTGAGCATTTTTTGATTGATAAACTAGTGTGGAATGTAAAGAAAATAGGTTGCTGTGAACCTTATCATTTGGAATCTGAAATTACAGCATACTGTGACAGTTGTATCAAATTAGAATAAGAATGATAGATGATCTGGAACCTATGTATAGTTATGATATGTTATTGTTCAAGTGTGCATGCACATTGATTATGGAACCACAAAACCAGTGCCCAGTTTTGGAAGTGAATGAATCACACAGTATCATAAATTGCAATTATATGCTGTCAGTTTTTGCAATTTTTTTGTCTCCCTGCTCTCTTCTCTCTCCTCTACTACCTCTTTCCTCTCCTCTCCCTCTCTCTATATTGTTCTTGTTCCCTTTCTTCTATTCTTTCTTTGTTTTAAGATTGCTTAAACTTAGCAAAGTTATGGTAATGTCTCACACTAGAAACAAAAGCTGGCACCTTCACTTGACTTTTTATCATAAGTCAATTATTTTCAGTTTACTTAACCCTCATGTAAATTGGTACTAACCAGTATATAGATATTGATATCCTACCTCAACTTTGTCATTCATTGTGCACCGCAGTCCATTGAGAGGATCCTCCAAAACCCACCTGCAAACCGGAAGTCAGAAAAAGACAAAAAGTTCTGCAACAACTGAGGAGGTAGGACTTGTTATGGTTGGTAATATTTAATTTGCAAAAATCTGCCTTATTAAAGATGTACACATTTTGTATTGAGAGACACATTTGGATAGATAGGTGATAAATTAAGAACATAAAACATATGTCAATTATGTCAATATCTTTGATGCTCCATTTCAAAGACATGACCCTTTGGTCCAGTAGTGGTAGATATTACCAATATAAGACTGAAAACTAAAACCAAATGATGGTAAATAAGTGAATAGATAAGATAAAAAGCTAGGATTTTGGCTGATAAATGGAAAATGGAGAAATATTGATAGTTTACTGTTTGCACCTCTCCAGACTTATCATTACCAAATAGATTTCATTGTAAGATACACTGAAAAATATGTTAAAGATAATTTTACAATTCTGAAGCCATAAAATAACATTGCTCTTCACAAAAGGTTAACAAATAAGTATTTTAAGATGAATGAAAGTAAGCACATTCAAAATATAATATATATCTATGTACTTGTGCAGTACATTGGTATTTTTTTTATATATTTGATTTCGATTCATAAAATCACACAGAAACTTGCCATTCCAGGCCAAGAATAGACGTGAGGCTAAAGACTGCAAAATGCCAAGAATGATCCTGACCTGGCTATGGCTTTGGCTCTCTCACGCTCAATGGTTGAAGATGAGGCAGAAAAGAGGGCATCTAGGAAGAAAAACTCTTGGAATTAGGACTGGATGATATTGTTGAGGAAGACAGGAAAGTACAGCCTCTGTTGTTGCCTCTTCAATCTGCTTCTGGTATGGATTTCTTTTCATTTTTAAGAATTGATATATTAAATCAAGCATTATGTATCTACTGGATATATTTGAAAATATCTGTAAGATTCACAAAACTGTATAAGCTCTTAATACACTCATATTAAAAAGCTTCAGAAAAGATTTTTATATGATGGATATGAATATTTTCTTGTGGCTTTTTTTTTTTAACAAGAGGTATATTGAGTATGTTATAATGAACATTTCTGTCCATATTCTAAATAATTATGTATATCTATAAGTGTATATGTATTTATTTCAGGAAAAAGTCAGTCATCAAAAGGGTCTGCCAAAGGGAAAGGAAAAAGCGTAATGCTGTGTGGCGTAATACGGTCCTCCTTAATCGCTCTAAAGAGGAAAGAGAAAATATCATCAGTGAAAAGGTGGCTGCTCTTTTTAGCCTCAGAGGACACACAGAGAAATGAGTGGACAGGACCAGGGAACGGCTGCAGGAATGGACCATTTGTGAGGTATAAAGACAAGGTAAGCATTAGATTTACTTGTAAGAAGACCTAGGAGGCAGTGCAGATCCAGGAAGGAAACCCCTTAGTGCATCCAAAAAAGTACAATATACAATGAACAGATAGATAGGTGAATGATTTAGGGAATGAAAATGTAGGTGTACTAGAATAGTAATGAATTGTCAGCTGTGATTTTATGTGAATGTAAAATGTCAAATAGATTGTCAAGAGCTTGTATGATTTTACCTTTTTTCACTAAAGCCATAGAACCTTGATATTCTACATACTGCTGATGTCATGTCTATACTCACCCACATCAAACTCTATAGTTTGCTCAAAATTGCAAAGAAAATGAAATAGAAAATGTAAATATCACTGACTGGGGACAGCTGGAGGAGCTACCTCGCCCTTTGCAACCCTAATATCGGTGCTTGGGAACACCTGATAACACGTTTCTTCCCTTTTTGGAACATCATAGGTCAAACAAACTAAGATTTATTTTACTGCATATATGAGAGAGCGGTAGAAGAGTTTTTACTTATTATTAATTAATTTTTAAAATTTGAAGGCTATGATTTTTTATTATGTATTATTATTTTTTTGTCTAGTAAATGTATGTTGATTTTAATATGTAATACAATATGAACAATTTATACAGAACATATAGACATTAATAGGTTTGATGCTTTACTTTTTAGTATTATTGCATGATTTTTCTTGACATTCTTTTCTTGTGATTTAAAAATTGATGTTAGTGTATCAGTATTTCCATTTTCTTTTCTTTCAATAAATCAGCAGAAATACACACAATGCATATATTTTAGACTCCCAACAATTGGCTATATAGGAAAGGTTTAGTTTAAATTTACGAGGTTTTTAAGCTTGATAGCTACTGCTTGACTTTTCTTATATCTGGAAATGAGCTCCATTACCATATGAAGGTGGCTAAAAAATGTAATTATTTAATGATGGATTGTATGCCTTTAAGAAAAGTTTCTTATTTAAAAATAATTACCATTATGTGAAGGATACTATTACAAAGTTTGCATTGATTATAAACTATTTCACAGAGTTGCAGCCTTTGGGAAGCAGCTCATAGTCATGTGACCAGCCATTGCGTGAATTTTATGTGCCTGATCTGGAACCTTACATAGAACCCAAAAATGCTGTTGGAGGCTTATTGAGAAGACTCTCACAGATTCCTGGTCGACTGAATTTGACAGCTATGGATGAGGTAAAGGAGGATTTTGAAGATGAACATGTGAAATTATTGTAATCCCACTACAACTTAAGTTTTTTTCAACTTATTCTGACATGTGTATATCAAGGTTGGAATCCTTTGAAAATGAATAATGCTACTTTTGTCAAAGAATGGAATTTAAAAAGTTTGCCTCAAATTTTAGCAAGAGATTTAGAACATTTTATTACCTATTTCTATAGCCTCATTTCTTTTTTCTTTTCTTTTTTCCAGAACTCAGATTCAGACAGTGATGAAGAGGGAGGCAGAAGCTATGCAGTGGACCGAGACAGTACGCAATCTGTCCTGGCGGAACTCCTTGGATCCAAGATTGTCTAGATATAACACGGGCACATAATGCAATTGAGGCTGAAGATTTATCAAAGTTTCAGGAGTTTGAAGATGCTGCAGCAGACCCAAATGTTACTATGGAAGCTGCTAGTGGGTTCTGGGTGTTCAGGCTACCAGGGGAAAGTTCTGAAGATAATGTAGAAGGAGACAAAAAACCATTGAAGAAAAGGATGAGGGAAATGAGAGAGACTCAGTGATGCAGTATTAGTGACTGGGAGTGCATGTGACAGTGATGAGAACCACATTGATAAGGGCGTCAGTGACGGTGTTAAAGATGACCAAGCAGATGAGGATAATTCTTTATCATCAGAAACTAAAACCTGAGGAAATGGAAGGGAATATGCAGAAAAGCAAGTCAGTGGCTTTTAGTACTATTGATTTAGTTGATAGTGTATCTTTGGAATTTTGTGTAGTTGATGATAAAATGGTGATGAATCCTTTGGAAAAAAGTGATAAAGACAAGCTTGTAAACACATTTGTGATTTAGAGGATGATACCTCTTGTGATACTTCAGAAAATACACTGCTTGAGGATGTGAGATCTGAAAAAGAGGTTAGTAAACAGGTACCGACAAACTGTGATGATATAGAACCCACTGAAAGTGATGGAAGTGAGGATTGTGAAATTTCTATTATTTTAGATACTAGCTCTGGAAGGGCTGAGTGCAATAAGGATAAGTTACACGAATCTCATCATGAGGTTGAGGTTAGTAGTGTTAGTCCTAAATCTAAAGACTCTTCAAGTAAAGAACAAGAAGTGAATGATTTGGAGCCAGCTAAAGATTTCTTTGACAATGATTCAAACTCTAGCATGAACCTCTGCTGAGACACAAATATTTACTGAAACCAAGACTCTAGCTTTAATGCAAGTTTCAGCAGCGTCTACACACAGAGGAGACTATCCTTTACTCAGATTCCACTGACCTTTCTTTAGTAACAAGTAGTATGGAGACTGCCAAAAGAGAAAACAGGAATCAGAACATTTGAACAGGGATGAGGAAGGGAGAGTGGCTGATAGTTACAAGACCAGAGACAAAGTAGGAACCTCAACGGAAACCAGAATTTCCTCAGATTTACAAGCCAGGGGAAGCAACATCAGACAAGGCAAAGATGGAAAGGGGAAACAGGAGTGCAAAGAAAAGTATTCAGACAAATCAGAACCTAGATCTCCAGACCCCCTGCATGCTAAACTTATTTATGACTGGGCTTCATTGTTAGCCAGTGGTGAGGGAGCTGATTTCACATAACCACATCAGAAGGCAGTGATCTCCAGGTGCACTCCTTTGTTATGCTTGTAAGGTGTCCAAAACTGTATCAGGAAGTTCGGAGTGCAGGGAAAAAGGTCACTTGGACGGATATTTGTTTTGAAGGAGCATATGTCTTTCTCTCAATATTTATACTGGAACCTGCAAAATTAGGCAAAGGATGACTCGTTATGATGGATGTTTTTGATCTTGCCCTAAAATATGAGTGTGATGATCTTGTTACATATTTAGAATCTTTGTATAAAGCTCATCCATCTCCAGTTAAAGTAGCAACACGGTAAATTCAAAAGATAGCATGGTTAATACAGATGTAGGCATAATGCTGACACCTAAGATGGCTATTCTCAAGAGAAGGAATTATTAAAAAAGATTCAGAAGGTGCATAGATCTCTCGCCAGGGAAAAGCATATCAGTTTCCAGTGATAAAGGAAATGAATGATCTAACAACAGCCTGTGCTGCAACCCAGTGACTCCTCAGAGTTGATGGTAATGAGTAGTAATCCAGAAAAGGATGATGGAAAAGGCAGCTCTCAGTCCCCAGATCTCTTTAATGAATCTTGTGTAAATGAAAATACAACTCATAAAACTTTTCCATCTGTTTCAATACCAATGCTCAGTGAACTTCATCATTCTCCATGGATAAAGCTTACAGGATGTCCATGAAGACCAAGTTTGAGTTCAGTACAGAGTCAAAAACTTCAAAACCTGTTTCCTATGCTAAATCAGATTACTTCAAGAGCAATAATCAAGACATATCATCTTCAGCTTCTCCAGATTTTAGTAAATGAAACCGGTGACTGATGCAGGAATTTAAGAGAACAAAGTGAGGGCCAAAATTTGAGAGGAAATGAAGAAGTCGAAGACATGGATGTAAATGACTTCCAAGAAGATGAAGAGACTGATATAATTGATCTGACAGTATGCAGTTCAGGAAGTTCTCGGTCAGTTGGTACCAAGGCTGATACTCTGATTACACCAGGTGTTCATGTTGATGCTCCCACAGATTCAGAATCAGAATATATGGAGCCATTAATGCTGGCTGATGGAACGGATACAAATTCAGAAGAAAATGAAAACTGTCCTGAAAGCCATGTATGGCTGCAGTAAATATCATGCAAGCAACACCAAATAAGAGCCTTGACACAGATTATATAAACAAGAGAGAGCAAGAATAGATCTTACATCAGTAATGTATGGGATGACTTTGATATATGGGATGTGAGTTATTGCCCATTGAGGTTTCTCCTACAACCCCAGTTAAAGCAGTGGTTGCTCCAGCTGTTAAAAGGACATTACCAGGATAAAGAATTTCAGGTATCCTATGATAATGACAGTTTCCCCAATTCAGAGTATTTCCCCAACAAAAGTAGCAGATGAAGGTGTAATTCAGAATAGAAAATGGACTCCTGTGAAGCAAACTTCCAAAACAGTTGATTGTGAAGGTACAAAAGACAGACCCATTTTCGATATGGAGAGCAAACTGGGAAGTAGTGCAACTGATGCTGTTGTAGCTTCAGGATCATCTTTCTCTGATGAGACTTTATTGAGAGTAGCAGCAGAGTTTGAGGATAGTAATATATGGAAAGACGACTTTGACTCAATCGATGATGTCTCCGATCCTTTACTTAAGAAAGATGCAGAAAAAAAATTACCAAAATCTAAGAAAGATCTTTTAAAAACGCCAAATGATAAGATTGGTCCGAGTAAAAAGTCGGTAACACCAATGCCAGACTACAAAAACATGCCCTCTCCTGATTTAAAGGTATGTACTGCCATTTAGATTAGAAAGGAGATTAAGTGAACCAGGATTATATGGTAAATGATGTTTAAAGTTTTATACTGTTTACAGAATTTTTTTCTTGTACAATATTAGTTTCATTTATTATTCAATTTTAGATATGCGTATATACATATCTATGTATAGAGCAGGGAGTGTAATCTTTTATTATAATGTAAGTGTTGATGAATATCTCCATTAATATCTAATTTCTTAACCTGCACTAGCTCTATTTGTCTTACACTTGCTTCATTAGTCTTACTCGTACTACATTTGTTGTTTCGGTTTTAACACACTTACTAATTTCCACAGAAAGAGCTAGAGAAGTATGGAATCCGTCCTATAAGTCGCCGGAAAGCCACAATACTCCTCCAGCATGTTTATGAACAGACCCATCCTCTGGTTACAGATAGCGAGGCAGAGTCTAGTTTTTGTGAAACACCACAGCGGAAACCACCTGAGAGTATGTAAAGTACTTTTCTGAGATTGTTTTCAGTTCACCAAAGTTATAGTGAAATGTGTATCATGGAAGAGGAATGCCGGAGTGTATTTCAGCCATGCTAGGTCTAGTTTTCAAGCATTTTTCTCCTACAACCGTTTCCTTATTGGTGTTGGAAAATATGATCCTTTTATCTCCTATGATTTTCCTCCCCTAAAAACTAGATAGATAAATAGAAATTAAAAATCCTTCACATTTTTATTGATTGCATTTACAATATATACTCAAGATGGCGTTGGATATATTCACACCCACATTTCATATTATGGAAATTGCCAAAACTCGATATCTGTGATTTATGCTTACATCTGCGCATTTATATGATAATAGATGCATTTATGATCAGTCTGGGAAACTTGAGTAATATATGTTTTGATTTTAAGAAAGACTTTTTCAGCAAAAAATAAGCAATTATATTTGTTTGTTTTGGGAAGCTTTGTTTTGTTATAACAAATAGAAAGAAGAAAGAAAAAAGTAATAGTTCTATATGCACGTCAGTCTGTGTGGGTGTGAGTGCCGACACATAATTTTATGTAAAGAGAGGATAATTGGCATCATTAATATGCTTGTTATCCTGCAAATTTGACATGAGTCATAGTATGAAGTGCTTTGGTAATATCTGCAGAGGGAATTTATATATACTAGCATTTTTTCTAACCATTATAAATAGCTTTAAAAAATGTACATAATTATACACAATTTGGCATAAGCTTCATCAAATTTAATGTAAATAGGAAATATATGAAGAGTGTTAGTGAGCTTATATTACATTTTATTCAGGTTAGGGATGTATGGTAAATCATGTTTTCCTGTAATGAAAATAAAACTTTAGAAATGTGTTCAGCTGTGACAAGCATTGTGGATTGACATTATTCTTTGAAGTCAATATCAGCCTTGTTTTTAGTCTAGGTAAGCTTTGATTTAGGAATGTAATAGTCTACTCTATTTTACAAGTATAGGGTATTTATCACATAGGTATTTAGAAATATACAGTAATGTGCTATATTAATTTAATTAGCCAAAGTGAGATTTTTGATTAGCAGCTTTGATGTTGTCTTACCGTAATTTTCTTGATTATGCAAATAGTCTTTTGATTTACAGGATATAGAATAGCACCATTTATTGAGTTAAGAGGTTCAGTCAGATTGCTTGATTATATGCATTCTGTTCATGAAATATTTTAGGTTAAGTGAGGTTGGATTAAAACAAAGAAAGGAGGAAAGTAGAAAGAAAAGAAAAAGGAGTTAAAAAGGGGGGGGGGAAGAGAAAGACAGACGGACAGAGATTTTTAAAAAATATGTATCACTGTTTTTTCTTCTTAGAAAACAAGAAAAGTGTATCATCACTTCACCAAAAGGTCATGGCAAAGAAGGGAACACTTACAAAGAACAAGAAAGAGAGACCAAATAACAAAAAGGAAGCAAGTTCACAGCCACTGTCAAGTTTGTCTGCAAAACAAGGAAGTTACGAGGAAGGGACGAAGATTTTGATCAACTAAATTCTTCACAGACATCCAACACAAGGTGTGATAAAAAGAAAATCTTTTTTTTTATAGTATAGTTGTATGACTTTTACAGATTAATTTTATTTATTTATTTCTGTATGCAGAATAGGATTAGTTGACTGCACAGTATACTATTGTAACCTATTCATTTCTTGTTTTCCTGTAGTACTGATGGATCAGAATTTGACTGTGCTGAAGAATCAATGATGGTGGGCATTGGTGACGATGATGATGTATTAACGTCTACTCAGCAAGGTTTGTAACTATATCCTATTGTCATTAGTGTTTTGGCAAAAATGTAAAAGTAGTGATTATAGTTTTTTAATGGAGGAATGTTACAAAACTGACATCAGGAGAACTGGATTTTGTGGAAAATTGCATAAAAAATAACATTTTAGTTATCTATCTTTCTTTTTTGTCATTGTCTAAATGTACTCTTACCATTTTTTCTAAATATATACACTGTACATAAGGGAAACCAATGATACTAAAGTCTTAGTTACATGGTCTTTTTTTGTACTTGTGTGCATAATATAAAAGAAAGGAATTTTGGGTTTATTTATAATTAATGTTTTGATCTTTGAATTGCAGTTGATATTGGCAGGAAAGTCGCAAAATTCATTAAGTGTGATCCAGAACTGTATATGAAAATACTATTGTATGAACCCATCTTTGTTGAGGATTTACAAGCATCACTAAAAGCAAATGGGATCAAAACAAATATGAATAATCTTCTTGAAATTCTAGATGAACAGGTAAGGAGCTAAAAGAGAAATTGAATCCCCACCCCCCTTCAAGTTGAATTGTTTATTTGCAATAGGTCTTAGGCTACATCAATTTTATTTGTTGCTTTTTTTATTTTTTTATTTTATTTTATTTTATTAGAGAAAATTAGAGTGCCTATGCATAAAAAAAAGGAGAGGGAGAGAAAAAAGGTTTGGTGTGAAGATATAGGCCTTACAGAATGTAAAGAATAGCAGGAGTTTTAAAGTTTTCAGCTGGTACGTTTTATGTAATGAATCCTGTCCATTGATCAATGACTACACTTTTGAAGAAAGATCATTGTTTTGACTGAATTTACATGTGAATGCCCAAACTTGTAGTTCAAAACTATAAGTTTAGTTTAGTTCTAAAGTTTAAAGTGCACGGCGCACACCAGTACACAACAAAACCTTCTGAGGCACCATATTCTTTTGAAAGATAAGATGCTTTCTGACAGGTTGTCCTCTAGCATGTAACTACAAAGCTCCCTGATTGGTTTCTGGCAGCATGTACCTCTGACAGTGGCAATATTTACAAATTTGCCTTAATATTTATTTATTTATTTATTTATTTCAAAGTGCAAAAATTGAAGCAGAGGATCCGAGAAGCAATAAATGAAATTGGTGTGGCCTTGACATGATATATAACATTTATGACAGATAGTTGGCTTATGAATGATACTGTTTTTTTTTTTTTTTTTTTTTTTTTTTTTTTTTTGTTCTCAGTGACATAATTTTGCACTTTTTGGGGGATGGGGCACCTTTTAGTGGCAAGTATAATGTTCTTTTAGATTGCAGTCTTAAACATGATTATTTTGAGGAGCTGGACTACATTATCTTGTTTAAAATTTCTAAAATTAAATTAATGAAAGACAGTAATAATAATAATAATAATAATAATAGTAATAATAATAGTAATAATAATAATAATAATAATAATATAATAATAATAATAATAAAATAATAATAATAATAATAATAATAAATAATAATAATAATAATAATAATAATAATAATAATAATAATAATAATAATAATAATATAATAATAATAATAATAATAATAATAATTAAAAAAAAAATCTAATAAGTATTTCCGTTGTTGCAGTGCATCACCTTCCGAACTCAGCAAGGACAAAGGAACAGATCAAGGAAAAGAAAATCGCCCAAGAAAAAGACTGCAGCTTCCCCAACCAAGTCACCAAAAAAGAATTCTTAAGTGACTGTTTAATACTGTGCTCAGAGAAAGTTTTTTCTCAGTCAATTGAGAGAGAATTATGCTTGTTTTCATGGTAAAGAATTTTTGTTTCAGATTATTCAATTAACTATTGTATTAAGAAAACAAAGCAGAATAATATTGATCCAGAAGTTTTGAATATGCTCAGGACAGACATTTTTAGTTCAGTTGAATAATATAGTGCTACTGTACACTTATTTTTGTAATGACTTTATACCTAGAATAGAATAGAAATATTGTCTATGGAAGAAAATAATAATGCATTTCTTCAGGTTATTTGCATAGTGCATTAATCTGTAAACATAAAGATTTATTTTTACTTTGGTGTACCTACCCTGTGATAGAGTATGTCATATATTATTGCATACATTTTTGTGTAATTAATATTCTTATTTGTTAATATATTTGATATTTAATTAGTTTTGAAGCAATTTCTTTTCTTGAGTATTTATTTACCCATAATGTATTAACTTACTGACACTGGTAATGCATGTATGTATTACCTTAGCCCCTGGAAATTTAGTTACTTTTATTACACAAAGATGGCTCCACAATTGCTGTGACTAAGGAATCAATTACTAGGGTTTCCTGATCTCACCTATTTATCTTATTTCTTGTATAATAATGTCAATATTAGTAGCATAATGTTATTATAAAGCAAACCTTTTTCTAAAAATGTAACAGGTGAGGTTAAGTAGACCTTGTTATTGACTCATTGGTGATTAAGCACTTGTGAAGCCATCTATATGTAAATAAATCTGAACAAACAAATTTACAGTGATCTGTGATGTCCTTTGCACTAATAGTTCAAGATAGGCAGCTGGTAAAGATCAATTATCATTAAATTTCTATATTTTATTATGCAACCATTATTATTGTACTAGGATTCTCAAAAGAAGGCAATGTCTTTCTTTATGTTCAGGTATTAGGATATTAAGACAAACACAAATAAATTAATGTTTAATGAAGATGTAACATTTTCAATAAATATCAAGAAAGATACTTTTCCTGAAAGAAAAAAAGAGAGAAAGAGGGGAGAAGTGACTAAAAGTAGTAGTGACTTTTGGCTTACGTCCTACAGGTGGAGCATCAGTAACAGTTATTAGTAGTCCATTGTAACAGTTCTGGAACTGTAATGTTATTTCATATACATGACTTGTATTTTTAAGAGGTAATCAAGGATATGTACATTTGCTATATACAAAAGGCCACAAAAAAATATTTTCCTGGAATCAGGCTTTAAATGTTCAACTATTCACTGAACAGGCTATGGCTAATCCCATTAGTGTTTCTATAAGAGTATGCACTTTTCTACACAATGGTGTTAACAGTAAACTTTCATTACTGCTGAACAGTCTCATCACAGGGCAAGCCATTTTCTTTCTCACACTTCAGAACACTCAGTATTGTCTGCTTCATAATGGCACACAGTACTATCCACTTGTTTTCTGAATGTCATTAACAGTGAAGCATTGCAGAAGTTTCTATAATACAGAAATTATTTTTTTAACTAAATCTTTATAGACATAGACACTACGGCTTTGTACATTCTTCTCCAACTTGTACTGTATTTGACCTAGGTAGAGGTGCTGTTGCTGTTGTTGCTGGATGTGTTGGTGGTGGTATTGGTAGTGAGTGCACTGCTGGTACTGCTGTTGGTCTCCTCTGGAGTGGTGGCATTGTAGTGGTTTCCGGTGTTTCTGTTTTTGTTATGGCATCATTTACATTAAGATTCTTCTCTATTACTGAGAACAAGTCAATGAGGTTATCCAAGCCTAGGAGATAGCCATCTTCATGAGTTCCTCTGACCATGGCTTTCGTGAGTGATCTCTACATTTTCCGGTAAAGGAATGGTCTTGGCAAAATCAATAAGCTTCACTGAAGCCGAACTTTCATTATGGACAAACAAAAGAGAGCTGCCTATAAGCTGGAAATAGAATGGAAAAAAAAACACTTAGTAAAAGGAAAAATAATGATATCAAATCCCACAAAGTTCTATTATATCACATTTTACAAGAATATTTGGAATGAACAAATAAGACTTAGGTATCTTTGAAAATCATGAAAAAAAAACCATCTACACTAACCTCATGGGTTTTAAAAAAAGCAGAAGCCTCCAATGTAGCTTTGATAGACTTCAACTGCTGGACATATCGACTCTGAAATATTGCACATTTTCCATTTCAGTACATGCAAATATGTAAAGGAGTAACACATCTTACCAATAACTTTAATGCCTAAGTAAACTGAGGAAAAAGGACATCTTCAAAATACAACAATAAAGATACATATAACAAATCTTTTGAACCAAGTGCCATTTAATGTACATTGTGCATTTTAAAATGTGATCATTTAGTGTAGTATATGATATTAATGATAAATAGTCCTTTCTTTACTTAAACTCACACAAGAAAAAGTCTCACTGAAATCATCTAACTAAATTAAAACGAAACAAAATCTCTTTTTCACAAAATATACTTACAGCAGCATGAGGGTATCCCTGAAGGAAACTGTTGAGCGAGGCAAGAACCTGCTCTCTTGTGCGTGTAGTTTTGAAGTCTTTACTGGATGTTCCATCTCCTCTTCTCATGCCTTCTATCCTGAATCCCTGGGTAGCTGTAGAAGATATGGTCTCCCGCCATACCATGTACCTGCACATAAAAAATAAGAATTATTGTAAAAAAAAAAAAAAAAAAAAAAAAAAAAAAAAAAAAAAAACATTAAAAAATAGTGGGGAAACCACTGAATGGTATATCCAAATAATGTTATTATTATTATTTAATATCAGAAAATATATTCCAAAGTAACGTACCGGGTTTGTGACAGCTTTAGCTCTGTTCTCTGATTCTGTTGGAGCTTTGGGGTCTATCTGTACCATCTTTTCAAACATATCCTGCAAGAACACAATAAACATATAGTATATTGTTTACCAATATATACACATTTGCCTATATCTAGCAATTCCATCTCATCTCTCTCTATCACTATATGGAAGTAGGTGTGGTGGTTGGTGGGAAGTTATGTGCGTGTCCGGTTCTTTGGTGCTGCGTCATAAATAATGAATCAGGAAATCATGACATCATTACTCGGTTATCAGTCACGTCATGATGAGTTTTATGGCGTCTACTTCCTACCTGAGCAATGTGCGAGTAACTAAGTATTATTTATCATTATTACTTGTTTATTTTTACTTATTGTTTTGTGTATGTGTGTGTGGGGGAGGGGGGTGCGTGAGTGCGCGTATGTGTATTTGCTTTTCAAGGTCCATCATAAATCAACTCGCTAAGATGTGAATACTGGTCATCCACACCACACTACATAAA